ATACAAATTAGCATAGAACAGCATAAAAATGACAAAAACAAAATGCAAAATGTGTCCAAAATTGTCACAGTCAGTTATCATGAATTTTGCTGTAGCTGCTTGCTGACCGTTTCGTTTCAGAAACGCCGTTGGTCGTCTACGGAAGCGGAAAGCCCTTGCGTCAGTTCATATACTCGATGGACTTGGCGCGGCTGTTCGTCTGGGCGCTATTCAACTACAAGGACACGACGCCGATCATCTTTTCGGTCGGCGAAGAGGACGAGAAAAGCATCAGGGAGATTGTGGACATAATCGTCAAAGCGATGGAGTTTGACGGCGAGGTGATTTACGACACGACCAAGAACGATGGCCAGTTCAAGAAGACGGCGTCGAACGCGAAGTTGCGTTCTTTGCTGCCGGATTTCAAGTTTACTCCGTTAGAACAAGCTTTGAAGGAAACGGCCACATGGTTCACGCAGAATTTCGACACGGCCAGGAAATGAACCAGCCCGTCAGTCCTCTTTGATAGGGATTTATCGTTATGAAATTTTTTGGGTATTTTATTCTGCACTGATTCCAGCAAGGCAAAATGATAGTGACTGTTATTTGGATATTAAAGCTTGCATGTTATAGATAGGTGTCAAAGTTCGTAATGTTTCGATAGCACAGACACGAATTCAGAAATCTTATTTCGTACATATAACATGACTGCCTTGGGATATTTGGGCTCGAATAGCTTCTTTAGATATTTTAAGTTACTATTCAGCCAGCTGAATTCAGTGTCTGTTGTTTATTGCATATGTACCATGAAAAAATTTTCTAATAAGCCTAAACCAGCATTATTCTTCAACAGGAGAGAAACACATCTGCTCGATTTGACCTAATCGAAGAAACGTCGAAGATTGCCTACTATCGACTTTGTCAATCGACAGAGAAACTAAGTGCCTACGAAGTGAATTTGGCCACGAGTCTTTTTATGCCCAATGCAATTATTCTTCGCATCTTTCAACCGTTGTATTAGTCTGCATGATCGAAAACAAATTACAAACAGACATTACTTAATGAAAGCGCTATTTAGCAAACAAATTGGCCAAAATCTAGTTCGTTGCAAAACGCGATGGCGGAGGGTGGGTGAATTTTCTATCCATAATTTCAACTTGATGTTCCTTGAAAAATAAAGTGGAAGCGAAGATGTTTAAAATTCGTATAGATACAAGGATAGGTTGCAGAGAGAATATCCGTATGTAGTGTAGTTCGAACTATACAACATTTGTAATTGCTGTGCGAAATTAATCCTAAAGCCTTTGTTGAAATTTCGTACTTTAAGAATTTACAATGCCAATGAAGTCCAAGGCTATAGATTGATCTTTGCTTATGGCGATCGCTAAACAAATGAGTTTTATGTCATGATGAGAAGCAAGGAACAAAGGATCTGTGAAAATCAGTAAGTTTTGCTGCTTGAACGAATCATAA